CTCACGTCTCTCAGCACGGACATGCGTGCTCGGCCACCACTTCGCGTGGCTACACCAGGCCAGGGCCGGCTTTGGGTTCGAGGTATTGAGAAGAACTTCTCCAAATCAAAGGTAAACATTTCCAAGGTGATTGGAAGGAACACGGGTTTTACACAAAATTCGAAACGACAACAATTTGGGGTTTAATCAAAAACAATTTCCCCCATCATGCAGGTATAGAATAGCTTCAATAGTTTCAAGGGTTTCAAATTTTCTATAAACCGAGTTCCAAGTTCACCACCTTCCCTAATCAACACAGTCTCCATTGAACAAACAACGATAGAGGTCGGGAGAACTTCCCAAAAGGAATGAGGATCGATTCCGCGGCTCAGAATAATCTCGATCATAGCGGTCACTATCGGGTAATGAAATGCTTAGCTCACTCGACTCTTCCGACTAACAGTGTCGGCCATCACGTCAGCTCTTGGTCAAGTAGCTAACCGTGCCGGGAGTCCTAAATGAGCTTCAAAAGATTACGACAAAAGAATATCAAAAACATTCGCGAGGTGCCTGCACCAGGCACGGCTACCCTCCTTAAAAGATTCTCAAAATCTTTTAAGGTGGAACAACACTTCTCGACTCCCCAACTTCATATTGAATTAGAGGCATCACAACACAAGGTTCTCAATATACGAGGATAGATAAGGATCACCAAAGAATTTAAAATGATTAACTCCATCAGAAATCTTATCCCATGCAAAGGAAGGAAAGACAAACAAAATTCCAAGTACTGAAATTGAGCAGAATAAAGGAGTTCCAAACACAATTCAAAATAGTCTGCAAAGCGAAAGGAAAATAAACAAGGGTCTGCAAAGTTTCAAAGAAAACAAAACTAAGAGAATAAAAAATAAGGTCGCTACGACTCCACGAGTCCACGGTTTACCCTACTGTTACTGAGGCGGTGGTGGAAGATGTTGTTCCTGCTGTTGGGGTGGCTGCTGCTGATGCGGCTGCCTCCGGGGCTCGGGGCACGCACTGATGAAATGTCCAGGGCGGAGGCAGTTGAAGCAGACTCGCTGAGTATATCGACATTGCCCAGAGTGGGGTCGGCCACAGTTTGAACATTTCGGAAGTTGACCCTGGGTGGCAGGTGGAATGTCGCGGCGGTCTGGGGCTGCACGCTTTCCCTTCTTGTTATCCTGGTGGGAATCAATCTTCCTTTTGCCCGAACTAGAGTCGGGCGGCACAGATGAGATGGGCTGGGTGTACTGAGCAACGGTCTGAGAAGGCTGGGAGGCATGATAATATGAAGGGACTGGGGCTATCGGAATGAGACAACTCTCTACCTCCTGAGCCCGACTCACGGTATCTGCATAAGACATCAGTCCGTGACTCCCCACCAGTTCACGGATCCTCTGATTGAGCCCCTTAAGAAACTTGCGGGCCTTCTTGGCATCGGTGTTCACTGCGTCGCCCGCAGAAAAGCACATGCGGGTGAAGGTGCGGATATACTCATCCACTGTGGAGCTGCCCTGCTGCAAGTGGTAAAACCCATGCTCCATTCTGTCCCAAAAGCTCTGGGGAAGGAACTTGCTACGCACCATCGTCTTCATTTGCTCCCAAGTGAGTGCATGAATCTCTGCCTCCGGCCTCCGAGCCCAGTGGTCAATCCACCAGTCGGAAGCGTCCTCCTTCAT